TGCACCCCAAAGCAGGCACAAGTTGTGGCCCCAAAGTTTAACAACTGTTGTGATAATCTGCATGTGATGAAAAAAAAAAAATAATCAAAACTTGATACTGAAAATATCTTCCTGTGGCATTGCGGTGCTGTTGATGGTATAGATATCCTTTGTGAGACTGCAGTTGTACACTAAACCAAAGGAAGTGCTGAAACAATAGGGTCATTTACAGGCAGCTTATAAGCTATTTATCAGAACCTAGAAAGGCATCTTACTTGTTGTGGGCAAACAATAAAATTGAATGTCCTTAGTGCTCATTGTCTTTGCAGGGCAGATCACAGAACTACTTGAAACCCACTGCTATTGCACTAAAAGATTAGCGTGCTCTAAAACTCCAAGTAAAGGGTACCATTCACATTGTACTGCTTACAAAATCCTGCAGTACAGTAACTGTGCATGTCTCTTCACATAAATGCTCATGAAGTCAAATGCTAATTGTTTGGGGTTATCATGTCAGATATTATAACACAATGTAATGAAGCTAAGCCACTTAGGCCTTCAGTTTTTAAGGACACCAGAAAAGATTTTCAGATGATCTGAAAGTTTGCCTATAAGTTAAAGCAAATAGTTTTGTAGCTGTTGGCTTAAAAAGTGAATAAAATTATTTTAGAACAATTCCTTCCACTATAGTGCTATTTTCGATATCGCATCAGATTTCCTGAATTTTTTGCTTGCACAAGTGCTGTAACAGTACTTGAGCCTGGCAAAAGAAAATAAGATGGCATTTTTTTTAAAAAAATAGTTCTTTCAGAGCTTTATAGTGCCAGTAATATTAATGATCCTGGAAGAAACACACAGAAGTCTACAGCTATGATTTCCCAGGTGTTTAAGGTCCTAACAAGTGTGTTTCAAGTGTGTTTGCAACCAAAGAGACAGCTTTCCTTGCCATATTTTTTTGTCGTTGAAAATCTGTCCCCCTTCAAGAAATGCACTCCTGAGACGCAAGCCCATACTTCTTTGTCCTGCAGCCTCTGAAAGTCCATCTACTATTTCATGACAGTTTACTCTAGAAATTAGTATTTAATCTAGAATTCAATAATATCTGGCATCCTTGTATTCTGACAGGTTCTGCCATTCCTGAGACAAAGGTATTGCATTGTGCAAATCAGTTTAAAAATAAATAAAATAATAATAATAAATAAAACTAAGAATAATAAGCAGTATTTTATTTTATGAATTTCTATTTTTAATTTAAAGAAAAAGAAACTTTTAAAGCTGAGAATTTCAGAGTCACAAAAAGCCAATAAAATATACCAGTTTTGACATAGAGTTATATTTTTGCTCTTAGCTACATCCTTTCCATTCTCTTTGTTTTGTTTGCTCTTTGTTTCATTTATTCTTTTCTGTGGTCTTCAAGTGCTCTTTGTGTATTCAGTGCATGGTCAGAACTTCATAAGCATAAAATTAGCACCCATTTTATTTATCTTCTTAGGTTTATCTTCTCAGCTAGTTCAAGGGCAAGATTTTTTTAATCTCCAAGAAATTTTATTATTTATACAATTTTCTACTAGTTTTTGTTTCCACTTCATGATATAATCCAGCTGAGTGGATTTTAGTCCTATTCATTTTGCTGTCACCAATACGGATTTCATTTTTTGTGTTCATTTTCTAGTAGCTTTGATTCTTATACGATTTATCAGAATCCAGAGACAGGCAGCTAGTTTGTTGAAGGAAAAAGAACCTGCAAGAAGACAAATCATGTGTCCTTACTTAATAGTCTTTGTCTTTGTGTAGATCTGCTTACACCGCTATTAAAAAAAACAGTTTTACTGAAAAAACCCAAACAACAACCAGATGCTTCAGAGTTTTTATTTATGACCTACTTTTTGTTGGTCATGCAAATGGATAAATGTTCTCTATATTGTTTATTACACTAGAAACATTAATCGCTAGATAAAGTAGCTTTGAATTTCCAATGTTTTTACATTTCTCAGATATGCTTCAGTACTCTCATTTTGAGTGGGTGTCTTGCAAGAATGAAAGAAGAAAATAATTTAATACCTCATGTGTGCTTTTGCTTTCAATAATATATTGTTTATTAAAAAGGGATGAATGGTCTTACTTAGTTATTCAAAGTAGCGAAACACTTGTGCTCAATTAAAGCTACACTTGTACTCAATTAAAGCTCATGAAATTGTGCATACTGAG